AAGAAGAAGAAGAAGAAGAAGAAGAAGAAGAAGAAGAAGAAGAAGAAGAAGAAAACACAGTGTGCCGGGAATCCTGCTTAATTAAAAAGGAAATCGCTTTAGGAGGACTCTCAGTTGACTTAAAATGACCTTGACCTCCGGATAAAGCCTTTCAACGACCACCCAGGCTGATAGAGAAGGATCAGATTATGGTGGCTGTCTTTTGGGACACCGTGGTTACCCTTTACAGTGCGATTAATCAGGGGAATACCCGTAGCGATTGCATTAAAGAGAAGATTTACGGGGACACGGAAGGGTTCCATACCTCTTCTTCTCTCCGATGTAGTTTATGACTGTCTGTCTTGCTTCCTACTTGTACCAATTGACTGTAAGTTCTCGTACCTATGTGCTCTGTTAGCTAGACTAAACGAAAGCATTCTCCAGAGCAATAAAATTATGACTGCTTGATTAGCGGCGGTTTAGAACCGGGACTACCAGCAGCAAGACAGAGACTGTAAAAACATAATTTGTTTTATTTTGGTAATAGTTTTACAACATTTGCAGCACCCAAGTAGGTCTTTAACGTGCCGAAGATTTCAAAGTTTTCAATAGAGAGTAACATGCAAAGAAAAGTAGGAGGAGAGATAAGGACGACAGACGTTTGATAGAAAAGAAGAGCAAACCAAACCAGAGCGCTCGCCAACCAAAACGGGTACATTGGTATGGTGTGGGTTTGATGCCGTATAAACACAGAAAGATCTCGTTCACAAACCTCCACGCTCCACAAGTTAAAGAACGCACCGTCGAAGGTTTCTTTGTTTTAGTAAGGTCATATAAGAGTCGAAGATTAGAGGTGTTGGAGGAGAGTAACAAACACAAAAAAGCAGGGGAGAAAATAATAATAGATGTTTGAAAGGAAAGAAAAAGCAAACCACACCAGAGCACCCGCCAACCACCCACTCGAAGGTTTCTACCAAGACCATCTATTCTGTATCCCATCCTAACAACAATTAAGCTATCGGATGCTCCTCCAACAACAGCGTCGTGATTTTAAAAAAACGACCGTAAGATTTCACGAATCAACGTAGAAATGACTAATTATGGTCTATCGATTGGACAGACATGAAGAGAAAAGCAATACGTTATTCAGGTAGAGGCCCCGGATGAAAAGACAAAAAAACAACAACAACACCCCCCCCA